CTTTTCTTTTTTTAAGATTCATTTTTACTTTAATTGTTTGTTTGTATGTGTGTGTGTGCAAAACAGGAAGAGGCAGATCCCCTGAGCTGGAGTTACGAGATATTGGGAGCCTTCTGACTTGGGTGCTAAGAACAGCACCCTCTCTTTACTGCTGAGCAACTCTCCCACTCCTTGGTTCTCCATACTCGTGCAATCACCACATTCACCGTTTTACAGAACTTATACTGCCATCACACTCACTCTCAGGTAGTTCAGGGCTGTGTGCTGCAAACGCTCTGTACCTCACTCTGCCCTTGACAGACAGACGTGTAGGCAGCTCCCATCTTCTCCCGTAAAGCAAGCCTGCCGCATTTCCACCCTTGCACCCAGCTCTACACACACATCCAGGTGTAAACGGAAGAGAAACTCCTGGAGCTGAAACTGCTAGAATGCCTTCTTAGACAAGTTCGATAAACACTATCAAAAATTCGAGCAATTCTTCTCATGGTCCTCAGGCGCTCTCCAGACACCCTTGCCTGGTTCAGAAGGGTGTTTGGAAACCTCTGGAAACTCTGGAGAATGTTGAGCGTGTGTTCATTTTTTCTCACAAAAGAAACACTTGCTTCAGTCACTTCCTTAAGGGTGAGCCGGGGAATGGGGTTACCACTATGAAGGATGAGAACCACTGGGTCAATGGAACTGGTGGCTTTGGTCACATCCTTATTGGGGGTCACATTCTTATTCTCATCCCCTAAGAAGGATGAGGACCACTGACTGAGTCAACAGGTTCTCACCTCATCAGAAAGGAGCACCTGCAGACAGTGACACTAAAACTCTAAAAACGTGTTTGTTCCTTCGCTCCCTGAGAGGTACAGGCTGGGACCCTACTCCCTTCTCCAGGGAGAGAGCTCAAGTACAAGTGGATCAGGAGAACGGGGGCCTCGTGTTAGCCTCCAGGGAGAGGGTCCCCTCCCAGAGGAAAGCATCCGGTGGCCGCACAGTGTCTCTCTCTGGCATCTCCCTGTAACCCTGCATGGCATCTAGGCCTGGGGAGGGCTAGGGCAGGGGCAGGGGCAGGGAGGAGGCCGCAGGGTTTCTGCACAGTCACCTACACTCTGGCCTCCAGTCACTATTCACGCCTGTGCTGACGGTGGCGATAACATTGACAGGTGTTCTGTGTCAAGCCTGGGAGGTAGTGTGACCATTTACTGACCTCAGGCAATGGGAACCTTTAAGCTCAGGAAATGCTCTCCAGAGTGGTCTCTCAGGGTCCCACAGCAAAATCACAGCTCAGTTCAAACACAGCCAGACGCCAAAGAGTTACCTGCCCTACCTAACCACAGAGGGCCTCAGGGACCCTCAGCTTCTAAGGCAGTTAACGGAGGATGTGAATCTACCTCAGCTTCAACCGTGTGGAACAGCAACAAACAGAAAACTCTAAGCTGGACTAAGTCTAGAAACGCTGAGCCCTGCAAGTCTGTGCAGAGGGGCGAGGCTGGCAGCACCGGTGGTAAAACAGTAAGGTGAGGTAGCTGGAGAGGCTGGCCAGTCAGCCTGGCTAATGTGGAGACAGATCCGTGAGGCTCGCTGGCCAGTCAGCCTGGCTAATGTGGTAAGCTCCAGGACAATGAGAGACTCTGCTTCAAAATAAAATGAAGGGTGGACAGCACCTGAGGATCAGTAGCTAGGCTGTCCCTGGGCTTCCACAAGCACACGTGTGTTCCTTCACACACACACACACACACACACACATAGAGTCCTGGGATCCCAGTTCATCCCACCGGATCAGAATCTGGGACGGTGACCCTCCAGATCATGACAGTGCACACTTGTAAATAAAACCAGGACACAGAAGGCTGAGACAGGAGGATGTCAAATCCAGGTTGGCCTGGGTTACATAGTAAGAACATCTTTAAAAAAAAAAAGCCAGGTATAGTGGCACACACCTTTAATCCCAGCACTCAGGAGGCAGAGGCAGGCAGGTATCTGTGAGTTCGAGGCCAGCCTAGTCTCCATAAGAGTTCCAGGACACCCAGGGCTGTTACATGGTGAGACATTGTCTCAAAACAAACAAGAATGGGGGCAAGAACCTAAATGTTGTTTAGACTTCATAAGGGATTTGATGCATTCTGAAGTTTGGGGACATATTAGGACTCTTTCTACAGAGCTTCTGCCTAGACTCTGTCTTCCATGAGTGCTCTCAGAAGCTCTAACCCCCTCCCTGTGGGTCCCGATAGCCATTTTCTCAAATTCAACCAGAAAACACCCAATATCACAAGCAGTAAATTATTCCCAAGCCCACACGTCAAGCCCAACCAGAATGTAAGAGGCCCTGATTCACACCTCCTCTGCACACCACAGTTTTCCTTTTCTGGTCAAAACAGCCCCAGGTTCTTGTTAGGGCCAGGGACTGTGGCATTGGGGAATGGAACCATCGGCCTTGAGGTCTTAGGCAAGCACTCTACCAGCAGAGCTACATTCCCGACACGGCTCTAGTCCCCATCAGCTGAGAAAGTTGAAGAGGAAAGGGGAAACACAGATCAAGATTTAGTTAAAGCTAGGATGCTACAGCTCACTGTGAACCAAGTTCAGAGCCTTGGCTGGACTTAAGCCTGGCTTCACAAGTGGCCTAACCCAATGGACGACCAGGACATGGAGCCTTGTTTCTTCATCTGTGCGGGGTTACGAGCCCATCTCAGACTGAAGAGAATTAGAAACAAAGAGCCTAGGCTGACCACCACTCAAAGACACTCTGAGAAGGCTGCCATGGTGCCTATTAAACTCCCTTACACGCTAACTGCATGAGAATGATCCCCCAAGGGCTTGATCTGGGGAGAACAATGGCCCCAAACAACTTTTTAAAAGCTTCCTAGTTTAGATTTAAAAGGTATATAATTTGGTGGCTGGAGATGCAGCTCAGTTGGTAGAGTGCTTGCTTGCCTAGCATGCACAGAGCCCTGGCTTGGAACCCCAGCACTGCATAAACTAGGCACGGCTGTGTGTAGCTAAACCCCCAGCATCCAGGAGCAGACGCAATAGGAGCAGAAGTTCAAGGACATCCTTGGCTACACGAAAAATTTGAGGCCAGCCTGAGCTATGTTAGACCCTGTCTCAAAACCAAAGATAAAATAAAGAATATAATTTTGAGGGCTCTCCTCCAAAATTTTTCTGACTGTTTAAAGATAAAACTTGGTTTTACTAAAATACCTGGGTGAAACTGCCATCTCCAGGGCAGACCCTCATCCTGATCTCCCTTGGAGAAGAGCAGAGTAGCCTACATAGTGTAAGCAAGATCAGAAAAAGAAATGAGTGGCTGGTCACAAGCAAAGCATTGTATCCTGGGACATGGGGCTGTAGGACCAAGAGACTCGCCCAGTGGGTACTGATGGCTGGCAGGCACAGCCTGACCCTGAATGTTACTCTCCAGACTGCTTTCAGAGGAAAAAATAATCCCTAACCAAAGCAAGGACTCCGGCTAACAGGAAAACATGAGCTAATAGCTGTGTCTCTAGTGGCGTTGGGTGAGTGCGCATGTGTGTGCCTCAAAATCAACAGAAGCCTGATTTGACTGGCTTTGGCAAGACAGCCATCACCGAAGTCAGTGGCTCTCGGAAGGCTGTGGTTACCGCTTTCCATTCTAGCTTCCAAACTCTTCTGCTTACAAAAAGATTTAAGTGTGTGTGTGTGTGTGTGTGTGTGTGTGTGTTCTCCAAGGCCATAACGGGGTGTCAGCTCCCCTGGAGCCAGAATTTCAGGCAGCCGTGAGCCATCTGAAGAGGGTGCTGGGAATCCAAGTACAGTCCTCTGGAAGAAAAGCAAGTGTTCTTAACTACTGAGCTATCTTTCCAGCCCATACCTGCTCTTGTATTGGTTTTGGTTTTGGTTGTTTAGGTCTTCCTTTCTTTTTTCTTTTTCTTTTAAGAGGCAGGATCTTGTGCAGTCCAGGCTAGCCTCCAATATTACCCTGAGCTACCTACTGTCCAGAAGCGCTGGGGTTATAGGCAAGCATACGCCTGGTTTATTCCGAGCCAAGGATGGAACCCAAGGCTTCTGATATGCTAGAAGGTACTCTGTCAACTGAAGTATCTGTGGTCCTCCCCCTCATTCTTCTAATCCTCCGTTCGCCATGGGTGCACTGGCGTCCATCTAAGAAAGCAGGGCGTCTGGAAATGATGGGCAGCGGAATGGGTCACCAGCCGGCCATCCCATCCACCCTTCCACTGTCAGGAGGACTCAGTTTTAATGAAAGGCCCAGTTACTGGGGGCCCACAGTGCTCCTCCAGTAACTGGATGCTTTCCTAACTTGGTGTACACATCAAGCCAGCAGAATATTAAGCTGCCATCCTCTTAGGCACCAAAGTCCCGGGCTGGCCAAGGCACTGAGGATTGAGTTAGATGATAGCCACAGGTAGACCCAGAACAAAGAGCTAAGAATAAGATGATTTCTGTGTGCCGTTCGCTACAAGAGGGGCGAGGAGCGCCGTAAGAACAAGAGAAAGCAAACTTACTTGCAAAAACAGAAAAGGTAACACAAGTAGTGTTGGAGTGAGCTTCAGGGAGTGTTTACCCTCTCTGTGGAGCTAGGCGCTTGGACCTCAAGCAAAGGGCTGCAGGGGTCTGGGAGTGCAGACAGCTCAGCGCGCCTGTTCCTTCCCGCGCTTCCCAGGTTGCTGCTCCGGCCGGGACGAATCCACGGCGCGGTGCCAGGCGGCCCAAAGAACCGCGCATGGTCGCAGCACCCCGTCCCTGAGCGTAGGACTCCGATCCATAGCCTAGGACACCCGGCGGGAGCCCAAGACTCTCAGGCCCGACCCCAAGACCTGCGGCAGCGCCCGGGATCTCGATTAAGTTCAAGGTGTCCAGGCCCCAGCCTAGGAGCCTAGGACCTGCCCCCAAGCTCAGGATCCCCAAAACGAAGTCTAGATCTCCAAGTCCGAGCCTCGGACACCAGCGCGGAGCCTAGGACCCACACCCTGAGCCCAGACCCCACCGAGCTCCGGACCGCGGCCCAAGACCCTTACCTCTTTCGCGGAGACCGGCTGTGAGTCTACTGCGGCTGCCACACCCTCGTCCCGGCCCGTAGGACCCGCCCCATCTCGGGGTGGAGACTGAGCCCGAGTTCCTGGTTGTCCCTCTGCCCACGGGAAAAGTCCTTCCTAGGCGAAGCAGCCAGAGACTCGCCCCTGCACTAGGAGGCGCCCGGGGCGGATCCCGCACTCGGCCTCCCAACCCCACTAAGGACCCCGAGACTGCACCGCCAAACTCCACCCAGGAGCCTGACCCCGCACAACCAGACTCCTACGATCCCACGATCTCCTCAGGGACCACACATCTCACCTGGGGCCTCCGCGCTCCAGCCGGGCGCCTGGGGTCCCAATGCCCACATCAGAGTGGGCTAGAAAAGTAGAAAGTGACATCGGAGGGCACAGTCCATGTCTTCCTTTCATATTACAACACACGTTCCTGAAAATTCTTAGCTGTTCCACGCCTCCCTTAAAGAAGACAGTTGCAATCCCCAGGATCCGGGGTGCTGGGAGACGGGTACAGGGCACCTTTGGGGACTGGGGTTAGGAGCAACTCCCGGTTTCCCGCTCAACTCCCAACTGCAGCGTTGCTTTCTCCCTCCTTTCTAGACACGTGTGTATCCACTTGAGACCCAAGCCTCTTGCAGCAGGTTCAGTGAATGCTTGGAGAACCAAGGCAGATGCACTGAATCTTTGAAGAACGAGCCTGTGTCTCTAACAAGAGGCCTCCGACTTCATTTTAATTTTTTTTATTAATTACAGTTTATTCACTTTGTATCCCCCCTGTAGCTCCCTCCCTCCTCCCCTCCCAAACCCACCCTCCCTCCCTTTTCTCCACCTATGCCCCTCCCCCAGTCCACTAATAGGGGAAGTCCTCCTCCCTTTCCATCTGATCCTAGTCTATCAGGTCTCATCAGGAGTGGCTGCATTGTCTTCTTCTGTGGCCTGGTAAGGCTGCTCCCCCCTCAGGGGGAGGTGATCAAAGAGCAGGTCAATCAGTTCATGTCAGAGGCAGTCCCTCTTCCCATTACTAGGGAACCCACTTGGACACTGAACTGCCATGGGCTACATCTGTGCAGGGGTTCTAGGTTATCTCCATGCATGGTCCTTGGTTGGAGTATCGGTCTCAGAAAAGACCTCTGTGTTCAGAGTTTTTGGTTCTGTTGCTCTTCTTGTAGAGCTCCTGTCCCCTCCAGGCCTTTCATCTCCCCCTTCTTTCATAAGATTCCCTGCACTCTGCCCAAAGCTGGCCTATGAGTCTCAGCATCTGCTTTGATACCCTGCAGCATAGAGTCTTTCAGAGGCCCTCTGTGGTAGGTTCCTGTCCTGTTCCCTGTTTCTCCTTAACACAGAATGGGTTGCTTTGGGCAATGTTTGCTATCCAGACAACCAAAACCCATGTGGTCATTATATTAAATTATATCAGCAACTGTGGCTTCAGGAGGTGGCTTATTGTGTGGTTAACAGCTAGGGTTCAGGAGAAGGATGGCTGATCTAGACATGGGCCTGTCCTTTCATGCTTGAAGGCTGAAATATTTCTAAGTTTATGCAAGGGGGAAGAGACAAAATTAATCAAGGTACAGAAAAGACAAAATAAAGATACTTCATTTCTGGAAGATTCAAGACTGTTGTATTCTTTTAGAAATAATTAGGTGCAGGGGAGGGGGAATAAAAGGTTAGTGTCTAGCAATTGCTGTTAATTCCCAGGAACATTTATATAGGATTGCACACAGTTCTCTGCCCCCTTCTCCCAAGAACTGCCTTAGCCCAGGTGGGGAAGCCACAGACAGAAGCACATATATATGTTTTTTATGTATGGATTTTGTCTGCATGTAGAGACATGCAACATCGGATTCCATGAGTGCTGGGAACTGAAGGCCAGTCCTTTGGGAGACCAGCCAGTGCTCTTAATTGCTGAGCCATTTTTCCAGCCCCCAACTGAGGCTTTAATGGGACACAAAAGGCCAGGACTCCATCTGGCCGGGGCTCTCTGGGATCAGAGGAGAGTCTCATCTCTTTCTGAGCTCCCATGGGCCCCATACAACTTCTTCCAACAAGCTACAAGGCTCTCCTGAGGATGCCCCCCGGAGAGCACTAACAGGGCATCTACATCCTGTTTTACTTCTGGGGAACCTGATCTGAGACAGAGCACTAAAACAATTAATAGAGTTGTCCAGCTTAAGGATTCAGAGGACTCCACACTAAAGATATCCGAACGAGGCACTAGAGAGACAGCTCAGTGGTTGAGAGCACTGGCTGCCCTTGTGGAGGACCTGGGTTCTGGGAACAGAGCTCACATGGCGGCTCAGGCTCAGAGCCTTCTATAAAATTTAAGATTCCTCCTGAAGGAGAATGAAATCAAGAGTAGACATTTTTTTTTTTTTTTTAAGTCTCACACCAAAGCTGGGCTTGGTGGTACATACATGTAATCCCAGCACTTGGGAGGTAGAACGGAAGGACTGGGAATTCAAGGTCAGCCTTGGCTACATTGCAAATTTAAAGCCAGCCTGGGATACATGAGCCCCTGTCTCAAACAAAACAAAACATTTTCAGTAGTCCCAGGGTGTAGGTCCATGAAAAAACAAATGCTAAGCATGCATAAGGCCCTGGACTCAGTCCCCAGCTCTACACAAACATAAGCATCTCTCAAGGCTAACTCCTCTCTGGCAACTGGGAAGCAGAAAACCAGATGACAACTGTCTTGGTCGTCCTGAGGAAGCAGAGCCCAGCACCAGGAGAAAGCCAAGAAGCAGCATGAAATATGATCTCATTTCTCAAGATCCACAGGACTCGGCTCTACCAGGTGCCTCTGAAAGTGGATATTCAGATAAGACTTCAGTCAGGCGGCTCCATCGGAAATCTGTCCAGGTAGCAGCTGGTGTTCTCTGTCCCCTCTGCTCAGCTGTCACCTCTCCTCTTTCACTGGGGTAGAAGGCTGGAAGATTGGGGGCCTCCTCCAGAAGAGGTAGAGAAGGGTATTTTGGAGTAGGGTGCTGGATTCAGTCAAGGTGCTCGGTGGTCAAAGGCTGCCTAACATTTGGTGACTTATCACAGAGACCACGTTGTTTCTGACGTATTAAAATTCACGACTGTGTGAGTCTGAGTTTTGCGGGAGTACCCAACACTTTCTATCATTGTGGAATCAACGAAAGCTGATTGATATAGGCTAGTATTCGCCAACCCAGAGAAGTGGTTCTTATGTTGGGCCGTATGGCAACGGTTGGGAAGACTGCCCTCTAGTGGCACCAGCACCTGAGAGCCTGCAGATAGCATCTCCACCAAAAGTCAGATTTCCTGTGTGGAAGGTCCGGGTTTCCAGAAAGAACATTGCAGGAAAACCTCAGTACAGGTGGCAAGAAGGGAGTATCAGAAAAATACCCTCATTCAGAAATGCAGCCATCCCTGTGTCCCTGGGGGATTCCTCCCAGAACCCAGGCCAACACTAAAATCTCTACACCTCGCAGTCCCTTATTTCACTACTCATTTATTTATTTTGGTGGTTTTGTAGCACTGGCTGTCCTTAAACTCACAGAGCTCTGCTTGCCTCTACCTTCCTGAGTGCTGGGACTAAAGACCTGTGCCACCATGCCCAGTCTCCCTTATTCTAGCTTATTTTATCATATTGTATTGTATCATATCGTGTTTATTTATTTATTTGTGTGTGTTTGTGTGTACATGTGGAGGTCAGAGTATGACTGCAGAAGTTGCTTTTCTCTTTCTACCGTGTGGAACCTGGGGATTGAACTCAGGTTCTCAGGCTTAGGAACAAGCCCCTCTACCCACTGAGCCATCTTGCCAGCCCTCCATGTGTCTTATTCCAAGTGGCATAGTACTTGCATAGAGCACACCGTATCCTTGCCCATCTTCATTTTATGCTTCACTTGATTTTGTTGGAACAGCCTCATGCTATGTGGCCCGAACCACCTCACAATATCGATCTCCCTGCCTCAGTCTCCCCAACGCTGATACAGACTTGCACAGCCACACCCCGCTCTCCTCTGCTGTGCGCCATCTCTAGAGGACAGGGCTGCACAGAGCCCTGTAAAAAGCTGCTGCTCTGTGTCATTTGGGAAACAATAAGAAAGCAAATGTTTATAAATGTTCTGTACAGCCCCAACCACTTAATTTGTGCAAACTGTGTGTGCTTCGGTCCCTGCTTGAGCTCACAGGTGCAGGGGCCACCTGCAGAGACAGAACATAAAGAAGCTAGGTATGGCAACGGCAGGCAGGCTTAGCGCTAGCTTAACAACCTGAACCTCTGCTTAGCTTGGGCTATGCACATGCTTCTCCCCTAACAATGCACCTAGCAACCAAGGACGGACACACACACACACACACACACACACACA